GGACAGGGTGGGCGCTCTGGGTGCTGCAGGACACGGCTGAACCAGTATGTGAAGATGCATGGCCATGGCCAAACAGGAGCACATACGGACACATCCCAACGGCTTTCCACAGCAGCACGATTTATGACCTTTTCCTTCCCCTTTACTCTCTCAGTATCCCCGGCATGTTAAAAAGTCTGATTAATGGCAAACGCAAGCCAGCCCGGCTGCATTTATTCCACTGTATAAATAAAGCTGATGCTGGTAAAAATTAAGCAGTTACTGCATTTCTTGGGGAATTACATCCCGGGCGTGCTGCGGTCTGAGGCAGAGGAGCTCCAGCCACCCAGGAAGAACAACCTCATTGAAGTACAAATCCTTAAGTGTCTTATTTCTGCTACAAAGCAGATCTCCTGAAGAAGATAAAGCTGTTGTGGTCTGTGAAGCAGTACACAAACAAATAGGATGCTGCCAACAACCAAGCTGTTGCAGCCTGAAACCATCAAACTGCAAGGTATATAAACTTGGCCGGGGAAAAGAATGTCATTAATCTTCATGGGAGGTTAGGGGCCTTCTCTAAGACTGCTTTGCAAGTCCTTGCATTAGTCTGCAGGGAAAACACGAGAGTTCATCCCCGTGTAAATATCCTGAGAGGTTCAAGCCATGCTGGGACTTGGCAATAGGGTCATGGTGAAAGTCTGGTTTGGAAGCTGTCCCCAGGTTTAAACCTGAAGCCTGAGACCAGTTCCAGCCATTAAGGCCCAGCAGTCTTCAGATTCCACGCTGTTGTCTTACCACRTGTGTGGGCACCTGGTACAGGGCTTGGATACCGGGAGTGATATTTAAATAGATCCCACTAAGATATGCATCTAGCTACCTAGGTGTCCATGTTCCTCCAGCTATCTGAGCCATCTCTAATGGGTAAAGTAGCAGCTGAAAGAATAGAATTAGCCCATGGACACAATACCTCGTGAGCAGGACTGCCACATCGTGATGCAATGGATGGGAATCTCCTTTAATGTTGATGCTTTTCTGCCATTTGCAAAAACTTTTCAAGGTGTTGTCTGCATGGTGGGAGATTTTCAGATCCTCCTGCCAAAAGGATTAAAAGTCTGCTGTTATATTGCTGTTGGATGTGTCTGGGTTTCAGGATGCAGTGGAGAGGGCTCTGATCTCAGGCACATTAGAATGAAACCAGACGTAACTGCCAATCAGATGGAATTGCTCCATATTTATAAGCTGTAAGTAGGGTGGGAATCCAGTTCTTTTCTACTTTCTTTTCATCTGCGATTCAACCGAAACCTTATATGATCTAATAGAGGGGGTTAGGAAACACTGCGGGAAAATATTCCACCCTGACTCATGTGCTCAGGGAAGGATGCAGCTGGAGAGCCACGCTGGACAGCTGAGCGGCTTCAGGCACCCTGAGAAGCATCTCTGCAGCTGGGAAGCACAAACAAGCAGCGTTTCACATCCCGCGGCCAGCGCTACCGCCCGGGATACTCCTGCGGGAGCTGCCCAGCTCTGGGACGCAGCGGAGCGCTCGGCGTCGGCCGCACATAGCCGCTGCCCCAAACCAAACAGCAGCACCGGCGGCACTGGGTGGCATCCAGTACGGGGTGGGAAGGAGGATATTGTGATGTGAAACCACCAGAGTAATGAGTGATTCTTTTTCTAAGAATCAGACTCCACAGTTTGTCTGGCCACGGAATCCCCTAACCGGGAATTGAGAGGAATCCCCTAACCGGGAAGGCAGGAATTGAGGCACCAGGTCTGCAGTCACCATGCACCAACACGGCACAAAAGCKCTCCCAGGCTCTCCCAGGCTCCCAAGGCCAGCTCTCTATTTATCCCATGTATCCCGGGGGTGGCGGAAGGCATGGAAATGTGAGTCACACTGTTTACTTCTTACCTCCTCCTCCTCCAGCAGGATGAGTCGCACGATAGCAATGTTGATGGGGTTCCCAATACTGGCGTGATGGAAGAGACCTGCCACCTGCAAAAGGCAAAAGCCAAATAAACAAAGCCCAAAGGAAAGTCACCCTCCGTGACAGCGCTCCCGGTACCTACATCTGCAGGGCAACAGAGCTCAAAGAGGAGCTACTGGAAGCTGTTGACAACAACTCAGCATCAAAGTGAAAGACAAGACCAGGTGCAGATTTGGACTGAGGTATTTGCAGTGCAATGATATCTGTATTTGAAATTAATATAATTTCTGTAGCACGCTGAAATTCAACCAGAAATGCCTGAGGAACACCACAGCTTTCCCTCCATCATGGATGTKTTTGACCTCCCAAGGGAAGCCTGCTGTCTGCCAGTGCATTCACCACCTCGGAGAAATCCAGGGATGCCACCTCGAGGTGCTCTGCCAGCCCYGTCCCCTTTCCTGGCCATCAGCCTAAGCCCTGTTCTGAAATGCAGGTTTTGTGAAATGCAACGCACTCCCACAGCAGCACAAGGGTAGACAGATTACCCCAGATCACGCTAGCTTATCTGGTGGTTTTATGGCGTTAGCAAATGCCCGTTCATTTTGGATGCAGGCCATCACGTTCACTTCAGCCGACCCGAGCAGAACTCAGGGCCGTGCTCCCGACGTGACCTGTTAGCTCGTTAACACACCAAACCACGCAGCTTCCAAYGAGGTCTCCAGAGCGACTCGTCTTTGAGCACCACCATGAGCTGCTGAGGAATTCGAATCCAATTATTGTAATTAGCTCTTAAAGCCTGCCTATAGCTGTTAGCACCAAATRCCACGTTTCGGAGCCAGCAATACAGCTCAGCGATAATCTGATGCTGTGCTTGCCTAGGGGAACCTAGCTRTCCACAGAGGCACCTGCCCAGGAGAGCACAATGGGGGCATGGACGGCCTCTTTGGTGACACCCCTACGATGTCCCACCAAGGCCGAGTCTTGCAAAGGCCAGTGGCCTTCACGCCTGCGGGCCGTGACGGCCGGATAGGCATCGAGAGCGCCAGGACTCACCATGTTCATCACGGTCAGCACATACTTCTCTATATTCTCGCTCCCATGGTATTCTACCATCTTGGTGTCTGCCACCACCAGCGTCTCCACCCACTTCTCCTTGCTGATGGAGCGCTGCTTTATCCTTCTCCTCCGCTGCTGCTTCTGTTCCCATCTTTCCCTCCGCTTCTCAGACCTCTCCAGATTCTCCTGAGATTCTGAAAGATTGAAGGGGAGGAAAAACACTTTATGTCCACAAAACTGGTAAAATATCACCAGAACATTTTTTCCTCTTTTTTGAATTAAAGAAAAAACAGTTAAGTATTTGGAGTAAATTCTCAGACTGAAAGAAGGTTTGGAATATCCCATGAGGGACATGAAGACTCCATCAGACACGGGGATCTCCAATGCAGCACACTTTGGTTTGAATTGATATATGAATTTACAGGCAGGGATGCTTGGACCCACGTGCTGAGCAGCAGTGCCGAGCCTCACCATTTATGATTATAATCACRCAACTAGGTTTTTTGCCAGGGAAAAGCAGTTTCCCAGCACAATAAATTCCATGCCCCAAAGCTGGACTGGTGTCTTGAGCCAATGCCAAAGACCATAATGTGTCCTGAGCAGGGCTGGGACATGAGGGACTACACAGAGGCTTCCCAAGCCACACGGAGGCTAAATCCCAGTTCCAGGCTGGATCCCTATCGCTTGTCACGGGAGTCGTACCCGAGCAGAAACAACAAGGACATTTATCAGGCTGGAAAGGCGCCTGAGGCCGGAGGAGAACATGGACATTCCTAACCCAGACGAGCAAACGGGATTTCTCATGCAGAGACTTTTCCTATGACGCTGCTTCAAGACCAAGGTCAGGGTCAGTCCCAAGCTGGGTAAAGGCTTTATAAACCRCATCACACACAGTGGGAATTGCTTTTATGACCAATTTCTAAGGGTTCGGCATTACTGTGCTAACAATGGACTTTTACATTTTATGGACTATACTGTACTTTAACTTTGAAAGAGTGTTTTATCCTCTAGCCTGAAAAATCCCAAGTATCTAGATAATTTGACGGATTGCTAATACCAGTGTGACAGTTTAATCAAAACAAGTTCCTTGGAGCTTGTTTCCCTTGTGTGTGCAGCTGCTGAGCTTTGTTCGGGATGCCAGGATCCTCTGCAGAGCAGGGGTGCAGGAGCTTCCCTGGATACCAGAGGATTTGCATGGCATTTTTGCTTTGAGATCCCTCTTAAACACTTCCTCAGCCGTACACATAGGCTCGCACTATGCAGCCCAGCCTAGCGACAGAAACTAAATACCAAGGTCAGACTAATACCGTCTGGCTGGGGGGTGTTTTGCAAAGAAAAGCAGCAATGTGTCAATACAAAATGAAAGACCTGAAGTAATACAAATCTTACAGACTCGCTTTCCTTTTCAGGGTGTGCACACCCATCTACTGATCTCTATTGCAGCAGAGATTCACATGCATTACAAACTGGCTAGGATACTATACCCAGCAAAATTCATGTATAATTAATAGACTTCAAAGTCTAGGGGAAGCCATTATGATTATTATCATAGGCTAGAGAAGTTCAGTTCACTTAGATTAACAGAAGGATGCCTAAAGATGATCTGATAATAGAAGAAAGGCTTTCTGAAAGCAGAGCTCCAAGAGATAAGCAAAACCTAATGCACTCGCTAGAAGATGCAGCTTCACAGGTTCAGACTAGAATTAAAGCACCTAGCAAGCTGCAAGGAGCTGGAAAACACCAGTGAGGATGTGTGAACTACTTGAAATCTTTACAGCAGGATTTGGAAAATTTTCCACGCAATTTGCTCTAGATAGATGAGATGTAAGCAGCATGCTGTGCCTTGGAACAAAAAAACCCTATCATCTTCCATCCATCCTTTCCAATTTTACCCCATGGACACTCTGTTGTGATTCTGTTTATCTGGGAACGATTTGGGATGATGCTTCCTACAGATGTGCAGCTTGCTCCTTTGCACCAGACCCGTGGGCAGCCCTGTCRCGGCTCTGCAGGGACGGTGACACCCGTGGGAGCAGGAGGCTCCGGCACTGCCAGGGAGGCACCTGGATAGCGCTCCAGCTTCCCTGAAAAGCTATGGATTCATGGTTACGATCTGCTCCAGGCTGTTCCCAGGTAGAAAATGTACTCTGCTCTCTCCTCTCTTGTCCCAGGAGTTCTGCCTGAATTTGCATTACATGAACACTGCTAGTCAGGCGGGTCAAGGTGAAACCTTGGATCCACTGGTGTAAATGGGAATTTTGGTATTCAGTTCATGGGAGAGGAGATTTTACTCTGAAAGCCCCATCTCCTGGCAGGCCATAAAAAGAAGTCTGCAGGGAAATGAAACCAAATACTCAGCCTCTCCATCAGAGATGCTTGCAGCAGGGCCAGGAGGAAACATGACAGCAAGAGGCTGTGGTTCAGCATGCACTGGAGTCTTGTGTCTGAGAAACACAAGCAACTTCAGGAGGGAAAAAAAAGGCCTGTGCTCTAAAAAATCTTGTGACTTACGGGACCCAGGCATGAATGCTGCAAAATCACTGCTTGGTGATAAGCAAGCAAATTTTCCTGACTTGCAGTTTGCAACAGTGGTCAGCCTTCCCATAACAGGAATGCTTGTGGAAACACTCACGCTGGCCCTTCTGGAAAGCCGCCTGTCCCCAGGAGGGGCTCTGGCATCCGGGCGTACCCCTACTGTGCACAGGACTCCATAAAAATCATGATTTCCCCACTCAAAGCTCAGGGTTCAGTTACTTCTCTTAGTGGTTTGGGGGTTTTGCTTCCAGCCTAAGTGGTGAGCGGGACTGTGAGCAAAGCTCACAGTCWCTTGCAAAGCTCAAATCAAGAGCAGTGTCGTTCATGGGTAAAAGTCGCACACTGAGAGCTTAGCATGGGGTTTAGGACTGGAGTTCAGGACTAACGTGTCTGCTGAGGGGACTCCGCACCTCAAGGCTTGGTGCTCTTTCATTTATGTTTTCGCTCTATGCTCCAAATACACAGAACTGAAACGCCGAAGCCTGGGACCAAGCTGCTACCGCCTCACTGCAAACGCAAGAAAAAGAAGACAGTACCTTGGACTCCACACGCTGCGCCCAGCGCGGGCTCCCGGCCGGCTCCCGGCGCCGCTCCCGCTCGGCCGCGCGCCGGGGCTTCCCGCTTGTAAATCCTGTGGGGCTGCGCGGAGCCGGGCGCGCCGGAGCGGCCGGCCAGYGGCTCGATGAAGTAGTCCTCGTCCTGGAGGCGGAAGACGCCTTGCTAGCRGAGAGAGCGAGAGCTGTAACCGAGGAGGCATCTGCACCGAGCGCAGCTCACGCCGCGAGGGAGACCGGCTTGCAAAACGGCCCGGAGAAGAACAAGTCTTCTCTACAGAGACTATTTGTACTGGTGTTTTGAGCTCCCAGAGAAAAGGGAACAATGTCATGGACTAGAGCTTAAGAAAGCAAAAAGCTACAGAGACCCCGGACACAGACTGTGAGGACTGGAAGGCCGCGTGACGCTGAGGAGCGTAGGGAGAAGCTGTGATGGGGAAAAGCCCCTCCAGGAACCAGAGCACAGCTCCGAGCATATCGTCATGGGCAGCCCTTTCTCCTCTGTGCTATCGTCACCTCCCCTTGTCCTTGCTGGAGAAGCTCTGCAGTGTGCAGGGAACCAGCCTGAGCACTGGCTTCAACCACCAGGTCCAGGGGACACCAGGCTGATTCCGGACACTTTCCATTGCTGGGTACCTTAGAGCAGTCACATGGATGTGTTTCGGTAAGGATTTCCTGCTGAGATGAAGCCCGTTGCTTCTGACCTTTGTTTGTTTTCCAAGCAGCATCACTCTGAGCCACTGAGTTACCAAATTCCTACGGCCAAACCTTGGAAAACTTTTAGGGAGGAGGGATCTGGAGGAGCACTTGATCAGGGCAGGAACTCAAATCAAGGGAAAGCAGCATTAGGGTGAGGAGCAACGCAGCCCAGGGAGGCTCTGCTATTATCATCTTTCCTCCAGCAGGAAATGAAATCCTAAAACTTTCTTTGGTTAATTATGAGCTCCCTGACCCCTGGCCCAACTGCAGCCCTGTGTTACGGAGGACTCCAGACCGCAGCTCAAGTACAAGCAGCTACTTGGAAACGCCGGCGTTTGCCCATCGGGAGTTCCTTGAAAGGACAGGGTTTCTGAGCAGGAGGAACTGTCTCGCCTGGTGCAGGCCCTTCACCCAGGGAGGCTGCTGCTGTTTGCAGCGCTTCATAGGTGCGTGTTGGGACGTGGGTCGGCTCCATGTGCTGTGCTGCAGCTCCGGCTGTCCCCAAGTCACTTGCTTGGAGCAGCCGCGGCCGAGCGCGGGGCCAGGCGCTGTGCGGCGCGACGGCAGCGGCGGAACGTGGCTCTCAGAGGTGCTAACGTGCCAGATTTCAACACGCCGCCCTGTCATTAGCACGAATTTGTGATCAAATCATCTTTGCACGATGAGCTGGCATTGCAAAGTGCTGTCAATAAAGCAGCCTTGGGCTTGAAACACAAGGTATTACCATCATGTATACGTGTAATATTCTTATACACCCTATAGCTCTACGCTCCCACCAAATAGGAACGTTTCCTGTTTACACTCTTAAATACTTGGCATGGCTCCAACTGGTGTGCGGTTAATTCCCTGTAGCGGAGCAATAGTGCGGGGATACATACTGTGTTCCGCAATTATGCAAGGCAGACACTGCAATATCAGCACAGTTTTCAGTAGTTTAGTGTGTGTCTGATAAAAAGTCATTATTTGAAGACCGAGTGGAGAAGTCTTAAAGCAATTCCCAGCTTTCGGAGCGTAGCGGTCATGGACCTGCCTCCGGCCCCTCCTGTAGTGCTGGCTAGTGCCTTTTGTGAGCTGGCAAATGCTCTTCCTTCTTTATAAATAATGTGAATCCTCAGCATTCACATTTTGTTTTTCCTTCTCAATATACTTTATAAACATGAACTACGCAGTCCTCCAAATACTATTACAAAAAGGACTGGAAGAAATATTACGTGGACAACAAATTGTTTAGTATTTTTTTTTCTTGTTCTACTACTTGAGCTTCATTTACAAAGAGATATTTAATTGCATTAATTAGTTCCTAGTATGTATTTCAAATTGACCTGCGTGGCCATACCGCAGCCCGTTCATTACAAGGAGTTTGTCTTTGCCTGGCTCACACTGTCAGGCTGATTTCTGCAGCCACGGGGTAGTGTTTGCCCTGCAAACATTCCCATGTGCTCCGAGGGCATCCGCGTGCAGATACCTCCGTGGCAGCGTTCACGACACTCTATATTTCTGTGTGCATTACAGCAATCAATACAGCTCTCGTACAAACATCCACCGAAATGTGAATCAAAAGGTCGTGGTTTCCTCCCAGATGCATTAGCCTGTTCTTCAGCCAAGTGAATGGGCCTGGCTATTTTCTGCAGCATTTATCCCTCTGAAAATGTGAGTTATTACTGTCCCAGCTTGCTAGATGGGGAAGCGGCCCACAGCCGCAGAGGAAGCCAATGCAAAGCGGGTGTCAGAGCTTGGACGGCGGCTCCCAGCCGTGGGCCAAGCTCCTTTCTCCCTCCCTGAGCTCTGCAGCCTCTCCTTGGCTGCTTCCTCTGGGTGGGAGACCAGCTTGCAGAAGTGAGGGCAGAAGTGCAAATGCGGAGACCCAACCCAACTGGCCAGTGAGCTGTGAAGCACAGGGAGGTGTTCTTCACCTCCTCACCTTGGATGCTGCTGGATTTGGTAGGAAAAGGGCAAAGCCAACACCCTCCAGGACACCCAGCATTTTGCATGCCATTCTCCGTGCCACCCTGATGAAGCGACCTCTCCTTGGCCTCTGCCTTGACCGCTGGACACTTGGAACGTCCCTCCCAGGCTCGCTCCATCTCTGCCAGCTTCTGCATGTGAAATACCAGATCAGATCTAGCAAACGGAACAGCTGAGGTCCATGGCCTTGGCACCTCCGCCTCACCACCACGSGTGGTAAAGGCTGGACTGCTCTTCTTGAGGCTTCATTGCTTCGGGATTCGTCCCAAGGACAGAGTTTCTGAGCTGGAGAATCTTTCTTGCTCAGCTAGGGAGGGATGCTGCCATTTGCGGGGTTTCCTAGGTGCATGTTGTGCATGCACAGTTACTTCTGCCCATAAAACCCCCTGCCCCTCCACGCACAGCACTGGCYGCTTGCTGAAATTCACACTGCGCAGTGCTGCACTTGCCAGCCAAGAGCAATGCTCTGTGCGGCCTTTGCAGGGCTCTCAATTAGCCCAGTGGCACGTGGTGGAATTAAATCGATGTACAGGCTCATTCTGTGCTTCTTGGAAACACATGCAGCTTAAAACGCAAACATGACCCCAAAGCTAATGTGAAGGCACTGGCTGCAGGGCAGCAGATCCCAGGAATCCCACACAYGTAGCCCCTGCCCAGGGCTGGAAATTGCCACCTCTCCCAGGGTCTGTGATGACATTTTTGCAAATGTCTAAATAATTTCAATCTCTGGGGGGCCTTGCTACCTGTGTGAGCCAGAGGCAAGCAAATGCATATACACATATTTAGACTAAAAGSTAAATTTTGCCTTGAGGAGTATGTGTAACAACAGAATTACTTGGGAAAGAGACTTGGGCTTACAGCAAGACTTACACTTCTAAATGTCAGAATCACATTGAGGACATTACTTTGCTTCTAAATCACTTGGAAACACTTTAATCCCCATTTTTTCTTGGATAATCTTAGCAGAGGTGAGTAGCCCATAATCCGTTCTAAGGAGTAAAGGAAGCAYGGGCTCAAAGTATGGATTTCCTGCGTCCCCACCAGAAAAGGCACCTTTCCCTTTACGCCCACATCTGGTTTGAGCTAGTTTGTCCTCACCACAAGTTGATTTTTTGCTGCTAACACAGAGCTTAGGTGCTCACAAAACACTAAGAAATTTCCCATTCTAAATGAACTCCTGTATCAGAAATACCTTTAGCCTTTGAGCACCTTTCCAAATGTATCTTACATAATCCTACACTTCCATGCTACGAGATGGAAGAGATATGAGAACTGCTTTCTCCAGGAAAGTAGAATTTGGGCAGAAACACAATTTTTGCCATTGCTTTCAGCAGAAACACTTGACCTCACTTGTACTATTACTCATCTATTACTCAACCCCGCAGCACCTACCAGTCCGTCGCAGGTGCTGAGCGCCGCCGGGCCGCGTGTCGGCGCCCGGCCCTGGACCTCCCCGACCATGTGGCAGGAGTCGGAGCCGCGGGGCCGGATCTGGGCGCGCGCGACGCCCCCGAAGCGCCGCTCGCTCACGAACCCCGGCGCCAGCAGGTTGCTGTTAAGGCTCAAGTTGAATTTCAGGGCTTGTCCTTTGTATTGCAGCTCATAAAAGGCGAGAAAATTGTTCCCGGGGGAAAGAGACCTCCTATGAATGGCTCGGTGAGACAAATCATAGGACAGGAACGACCCACTCTCGTCAACCTTGATGGGATGAACGATGTCGCTGTCGGAATTCCGCACAGCAGGATCTGTGAAGAAAGGGTTTCCGTGGTTACTTTCGGAGTTAATAATCTCTCTTTTCGAAGCCCTTCAGCCAGGTGCTGATGTCCCTAGGGAAGTCAGTGGAGGAACGTACCTAAACCACTACCTACCGTCCTGCYGTTGGAGCCGGTGCCTTTTGCCTGCTGCCCCTTCCCAGGCCTTGCAAGCACTAAGTGCAGAATTCACTGCATCCCACTGGAGCGAACCAAGCCCGAGGGGCTCAGGACGAGGTGAACTGCAGGGCAGAAGCACCGTTCCCTTCTGCCAGACACCAGCCACACGAGCTCCGGGCAGAGACTGTGTTCTGCATCCCAGGGCAGCTCCACATGGAGCTCTGCATCCCCGGAGCAGCACTGCCCAGAGCACTGCATGCCCAGGGCAGCTTCACACGGAGCTCTGCATCCCCGGAGAAAGGCAGCTCATGGAGCTCCGCATCCCCTGAGCAGCACTGTCTGGCACTCTGCATCCCAGGGCAGCTCCACACAGAGCTGTGCATCCCGAGGGCAGCTCCACATGGAGCTCCGCATCCCCGGGGCAGCACTGCATGGTGCTCCGCATCCCCAGAGCAGCTCCACACAGAGGTCCGCATCCCGAGAGCAGCACTGAATGGTGCTCCGCATCCCCAGAGCAGCTCCACACGTAGCTCCGCATTCCGAGAGCAGCGCTGCCCGGCACTCCACATCCCCAGGGCAGCTCCACACGTAGCTCCGCATTCCCGGGACAGCCCTGCATGGAGCTCCACATCCCCGGAGCAGCAGCTCACGTTGCTCCGCATCCCCGGGGCAGCCCCGCGCGCAGCTCCGCATCCCCGCGCCCACCCGCGCGTCCACCCCGCGCCCACCCGCGCGTCCCCCGGCCACGCACCTGGCTGCGCGGGCTGGTGCGTCGGCTGCGCGGGCGGCAGCGCGAGCGCGGC